GTATGTATGTATGTATGTATGTATGTATGTATGTATGTATGTATGTATGTATGTATGTATGTATGTATGTATGTATGTATTATTATTAACAGTAAAACCAATCAATTAGTTCTGTAAAGGCATCACAATAAAAAAAATTATGCGTTCAGTGACATCAGCAGGAGGAGTCATTTGAGGTAAAGTAAAATGGGATACAGAATTGCATGGAATTGCTACCTAGCTACAGCTTTCTAAAATCTAAAAAGAACCTAACATTAATATTGCACTTATTTCGTTTTTTCATAGAAACAGGACTTTCATGTCAGACGCTGTACATTTATATCTGTCAAGTACACTCTAATATAGACTCAACGCTCTATCATTGATATTTTTAACTGATACAACTCTAGAAATTGCATCTCACTTTAAACGACATTCTCCAGTGAAATGTTCTCTGATTGTTCTTTATTTAATAAGCTAATTGGTTCAAGTCAGCAGCATGAACCAAATGTTGCTGCAGACTTTTATTTGAGAATGATAATGCATTTCCAATTGAAATGGAATACTGGGTGGGGGTTGGGGTTTTATTTTTGCTCTTCTCCTCTCATAGTTCACTTTCAACTGTTAAACAACTTAAAAGGCCGTTGAAGTTGCACAGTGTCCCAATGGCTTCTGCCCAATATCTTATTGTGATCATACCATACAGTCTTGTCAAGTATCATAAAAGACTGTAAACGGACACTTACAAGATAAAGCACGGCAATAGCACCATGACACACTTAACAGCATGCACAAATGCATCTACAGAAACGTTTGTGTTGCTTTTTAGCTTAAAACAATATAATAGCTGCAAGTGTAAACAAATAATATGAGAAAAAAGGCGTTTATTTCCCCCATTCTTGTGATATCCTTGTGTTTCACTGTAAGTCACTGTAAAGTGTTTGTTAAATGAAAATTTTGTTTTAATTGACAGGTAGTGAGGATGAATTGGCATGCCTGCAGTGTGTAAACTTTGAAACTTTTATCTTGTTACAAGGTATTTTTAGGTATCTTGTTTACATTGTAATCTCATTTACCTCGGCACTTGGGAGAGTTTTAATAACGTGTGGTGTTGTTTTTTCCCTCCGGTGAGAGAAGCTTAGATTAGTTGCACGGTGGTGAATTATTTCAGCCCTGCTGGACTTGCTGTTGCTGTCTTGCATTAGTGTCTAATATCCTGTAGATTTGATCCAGGTTCATCCAGTCATGTTCTTCAGATTTTCGATGAGACAGACTGGTGTTTATCCCTCGTGTCCCACGTAAGCTTTCTTGGACCAGGATGAGTCTCGAAATTGGAAAGCCTCAAAGGCAACGAGTGGCCTCGCTTTTTTTAATTGAACCACTAAGGTTCATGTAACCCTAACAAACAGGCAAGCGTACACGCACACCTTCAATGCTCTGTTTGGACTGGATAAAAGCCTGAATGTGGTTCTTTCATGCCTGTCCAGTTCAAGTGATCTCTAGCACCCTTCGTTTTCACGCACAGGGCTTAGACCGGAAAAACACACACACACACACACACACACACACACACACACACAACTGCTGCCTTAACATTCATTTGATCAAACTCTCCATCTCCTTTTTGCCTTTTCTTTTTTGCCCTCCTACCCTTTATCCTCTCCTATCCTTTCATCTTATCCCCAGTTTTTCCGTGTCTTTCCTCTTCTCACACTTTTTCTGTCTGTTTCATGCTCTAAGCTGAGCAAAGTGGGTAAATCTGCAGATCTGCTGACAGCTGCCTTTGAGAGAGGCCCACAGAAGGGGGGACAAATGGAGCACAGAGGTGCACAGACGAATGGAGCTTTGATTTGAGAGTTGTTCGAGGCTGTGGACTTGGGCACAGCATTACATTACATCAAATAAAGCTGTCGGCCCAAATTACATAGAATTGCAAGAAAATAACATTGCTTAGTTTCATCTTTATTTCCTCTTTGGTTTGTTCTTTATGTTTGAAGAAGGGATGTGGTTTCTGAAAGGTCAGTTTGCCCTCTAGTTAGTTGTCTCAGTGTCTGGCTGGCCCTCTGTCCTCTCTGCGGTGAGTGCTGCTTAGTCACTGTCTGATCCTCCTCTGGGCTTTCTCTTTCTCTACTTCCTTTCTTTCCTTCTTTATTTCTTTGTCTGCCTTTCTACTTACTATCCTCCCTCTCTTCCTGCCATTTGCCTACACACGTGCACATCCTTTCCTTACTTTTTTTCCAGACTTCCTTCTTTCTTAAGACCTGGAGGATACTTCTGACTTTATACTTTCCATGTTCTGTTGCATCTTGTGCACAGGTATGTCTCAACAGCTTTCAAAGTATACTCGACTAAGTGTAGATGGTGGAATTTGACATACAATACTTGTGCAATCTCAACATTCATCTCTTCTTAGACATAAAAGTTGTCTTGGACGTAAAGTTAGTGCACAAACACTCCTGACACAAAAATTGCATCAGGAGGACAGTGTGTAGACAATCTAAAAGCATGGATGACTGAAGCATACAATGTCAGAAGGTATACTTTTTAACCTATGTAAATTCCTATTTGCATTCCTTTCTTTATTTCCTTTACACCCATCTACTGTTGAGAAATATTAATAGTTAATCAAAAATTGCTAAAATTATTATAATATCCAGATTAGCCTCACACAATTACTTGTTGTCTGTGTTTCAAGCATGTCAGTTCAAGGAACATTAATTTCCAATTATTAGAAATAACCTTCTTATTCTCCAATACTACTCAGAACATGTTGCAAAAGACTGGCAACTCCAGTTATGAACCAAACAACGCAAAAGACGCAACTTCAAGGGTGATATAAGTCTTTAACTACATTAAACACCTAACTAATCTAACACACTCAAAAATTTGATATAGGAAGAGGCAATACAGAGTGAAGAATATGACGTTACCACAGCCTGAAGGAATCATCCTCTACAGCATGAAGGAAACTTCAGCTTCATAATTCAAGCTACTTTGAAAAAAACTTAATACATATGTTAAACAGAGCAAAACCTGCAGGTCTTTCCCATTTGAAAGAAAGGTCTTAATGCAGTTTTTGAGTATTTGATTAATCTTTGTTGAAGTTTGTTAAAAACAAGGCAGAACTCTGGCAAAAGCATAGGGTGTGGTTGAACATTATTTCTCTTGTACTTCCATGTTATCCATACGTTTTCCAGCCAACCCATCTTCATAACCTCCTTCCTAAACCAGATCTGACTGTTTACCTGCCATTCTGATGATCAACTTGAGGCATACTCACACTAGGTACAGTTGCCCTAAGCGCAATTGTTCCCCCTCAACCCCAACGGCCTGCACTCACACTGCATTTTGCCTTCCAAACCTGAGCATGCTTGCGTCATTGATGCGACTGTTCACTTTAGCAGAAAGAGAAGCACTCTCACTCAGGATAGTAGACATTGCTTTAGTTATATCGTTTTAGTTGTTTGGGATGCAAAAAATAGTCAAATATTTTGCTGAACAGATCCACATGTTTTGACGGTCATAAATGATCATAATAATCTTTGTGTTGCATGTCTTAGGAAGTTTGCTGAGGGCACAGCTGTCGTGAAGCAAGGGGTTTGCACCTTTATTAAACTACAGTTCACGTTCATTGAAAAGAATGGTTTATAAATCCATATGAAACAGTCCCTTAAAAATGGTGTCTTATCTTCAGCTTCAGGCTTACGCGTGCTTTGCACTTACACTACAAGCGTACCGCGCCAAAGCCTAACCGAACCGTGTTCTGGCACAACTCTTTCGCCGGGGCCCGATTCTGAGCACTCACTCTCGTCTAACAAACCAGGGATAGCATTGTGTAAGTTCATTCTTATATTTGTCTACCTCTCTTCCTATCTTAAGCTGCCTTTTTTCCTTCTTTCCCAGTTCTTACCTACCTACTTAACTATCTACTTACTGCTAACTACCAGCTTAATTACTACCTTCATTTCATATTTTAACCTACCAATCTAACCATCTTAACTTACTTCCTTCTATTCAAAACCAACCTTTTTTTCTATCCATTCATCATTTCTTCCTTCCCTTACCCACCTTCTCGGCTATTTTCCAGTGTCTTCCTGTCTTTGATTGTTTTCTAATTTTCTTTGTTATTTGTGCTTTGATTATCATTCTCATCACTATGCACAGGAGATGCATGCTACAGTGGAAGAAGCCCACTGGTCTTTATGCTGGGTTGGTGGGGAGGGGGTTCTTTTGGACAGAGTGCCCCTCTCTTGAACATTTTGCCTGAAAAGGGCTCATTCAGTTGAGCAGCACTGCGTCTGCAGCCTCCTCCCTCTCTCTGGCTGTGGATCATTGTCAGGCCTGAAAGGAGCTTTGACTGGTTCCAGACGACTGGTTCTGCACCATAAAACTTCACACACATTGATAAATGGGCTTGCCCAAAACATTGCAAATTCATTGGAATATCCCAGAGCTGTTTGGGATTGTCAGACAAGGAGGCAGTCAGCAAGTTAGGCAACACAGACACTGAAAGACAGACAGAAAAAGCAGCTCTGCACAGACGAACTGAGAGACAAGCCAACAAGGTCAGACTGAAGGACAAATCATACAGTCTGATTGCTCCGTTGTAACACAAAAGCTAGCATTGAGCTCATGTGATGGCATTCTTACTATAAATAGATGAGCATAGAATGTATATATATTGGTCTTTATTTCTTTTCGTAATGCAGATGTCCATGGTAAGGATAATGTGTGATGCATTCCAAAGATAGCAGTGTGTCCGTTATAAAAAGAGAAACCCTGCAGCAAAGAGTTGATTTTAGAATCTCTGCTTTCACTTCACACCCTCCTCTCCTGCGCACATGGTCACGCACTGAAAGCTGGCTGTTGTCATCACCGTCACCCTTCGCCTGTTCTATAAGTTTGAAAAATGAATGTGCTTTTGAGTGCTGATCTTGCATTATCCATGAATCCAAGTTACTTTGGAACCCCTGAACTCCCACTTTTAGTAATCCTCCTCTTCTCTTTCTCCTTTTCTGCAGGGAGTTCCTCAGTTACCCTGCGCTAAGGCTCTATACAACTACGATGGCAAAGAACCTGGAGATCTCAAGTTCAGCAAAGGTGACATCATCATACTGCGACGACAGGTTGATGAAAACTGGTACCACGGAGAGATGGGAGGAGTCCATGGCTTTTTCCCAACCAATTTTGTCCAGGTCATCAAACCTCTCCCACAGCCGCCCCCTCAATGCAAAGCCCTGTACGACTTTGAGCTCAAAGATAAGGAGGCTGACAAGGACTGCCTGCCTTTTTCAAAGGTGCTGATTTCTACTCGCAAAACAGACAACCTTCAACCTTTTAATCTCCAATTCACACACATTTTTCCAACAACAAGTTGATTAACAATATGATAACATTTTACATTAGTTGTTGCATAGGGAAATAAAAATGCACATGTTAACAGCTTTCCTTATTCAAAACTCATCCTATTGCCACTATTCTTTGTTGCATGTCAGACCCACCATGAGCATTATTCAGACTTTTTCTTTTGTGTTCTACTGAAAATAAATAAAATGGGTCTGGATAGGCAGGAGGGTGAATAATTGGGTAAGCTAACAGCATAGTTTAATGTTGCAGAGGCAAAAAGAAACGATTCCTGCTATTTGCGACATAAGTGATGCAAGTTCGCCTCCAGCTACTTGTGTTTTGGATAGATTTTTATTAAAAAAAAAAACAATTGCCTGACATTCATGGATGCCTTCGAGTTGTACATTGTTTCTAAACTTTTTAACAACGTGCTGTAAAGGCTTCTGGCTTAATAACTAGAGACCTATTTTTATTTTTTATTCTTTATTTTTTTGGTCTGCCCTTAGGATGATATTCTTACTGTGATTCGTCGTGTGGATGAGAACTGGGCGGAAGGCATGCTGGGAGATAAGATTGGCATCTTCCCCATATCTTATGTAGAGGTGAGTCATATCAGTGCATTTAAAACTGCTGTTGTTCCCTGACATTTTCATATTTGATGTTTTATTTTTTGATGCTGTATACTTGAGGTCAGCTTTTGTCTTGAAAACCTTCAAACTTTTCAAGAATTTGCTCTCAAATGTATTTTCATTTCTGTTGTCATCTCATCATACCTGTCAACCCTCCCGTTTTTTTTTCCCCGGGATTCTGACATATTTTACAATTCTATCCTGCTTTCATCCCGTAAAGGTATTTTTCCATATCTTAAATCAAAGAGTGGCAATAAACATTAAAGAGCCGATCCTCCCTATATGTTACTTATACCACCAAACCACCAAGGGACATCCCTTGCTCCTAAATGTGATTTTGTTCTGTGCGTTTATTTTATTTAGGCATGAAAACACTTTGAAATAAATATAAAAGCTTTGGAATTCCCTTCCTTTCCATTACAGGCACCTTCACCCCTCCTATGCAATCCTCAAAACTGTCGTGACTGTCAGACGCACTCCATATTGAAAAATAGACGCTGTATCCCAAACGGATTCTGTAATTGCGATTAGAAGCGAAGCAAAAACAAACACTCTGGGTTTTGGGTGCATGTTTTAGCAGACATATACACACAATAATTTAATCATGTTGATCTTTGTGGGTTTTCTTTTAAACACAAATTTAGTCTAAAATAAGCATATATGGTTAGGAAAGCAATCAAATGCATGAGTCAAATGTGCATTTTTAAAGTGACACCTCTGTTATTTAATGTAATCAAATTAAAAATCTAAATGAAAGATTCATGTTCTGCTCTTTAATCAGAATATTTAAATTACAGTGAAAAAAATCCCTTATTTTCACATCCCAATGTTGACATATGTCTCATTCTGTTCATTATCGTTCACCCTCACCATTTTCTTTTTGTTTTTGGTCATGCTGATCATACAGAGCTCTCAAATTTTTGCTAATTATTTGAGCTGTATTGAATTCACTTTCATCAGCCAGTACAATGTTCTTAATGCCCAGCGTTGTGTCTCTTTTTATCTAACATCCCCAATCATGAAACGCTGTCCTCTTGAATCACTCAACATCAAACAAGCATGGCCTCAATTATTGTGGCCAACTCCATGTGTCGCTCTTAAAAGTTGCAGCATCTCAAGTCTCTCAACACCTCGTGTCCCTACTCTCATAAACAACCTTTATGAACCCTGGCAGAGCCAGCGTGTGTTCTCCACCAGCCACGTGTCTAACCTGTGTGAAAAAATAACCATCAAAAGACATTCAAAAATAGCTTCTTGTCAGAATGGTGCTGCTTGAATAGCATATCTCTCATACAGAGTGAGAGAACGAGGGAGGCGAGGGGCGGAGGCTATGAGCTTACACAAAAGCCCTGGCAATTTTCACTAAACCAGACCTTTTCCAAGTGAATGCTTTTGAGAAGGTAATCTCTGATACCGGTGACATCAAAAGTGACTCAGGTACTTGAAAGTGTAAAGGGGGGAAAGGATTTTTCTGTTCCCTTGTCACTTTCTGCCACCATAAATGTATGTTTTCAGAGAGTGACTTGCAAATTGAACCAGGCATGTGTCTCTCTTAGTGGCCATCATCTTTGCAGTAGTTCATGTCTGTCGGGTTTTCAGGAGCAACTCTAGGATATGACGAGCTGATCTTGATGATATATTACATTACATTACCGCTAATGCTTGGTGAATCATGCGAAGTTACTGTCCTGTTTTTGAATCCAGGGTTTGCTATAGCTTTAGGTCCAGTAATATTGCTGTGGTAGTCATAAGGTTGAGGACACATCTTCTTTGTCATTGTTATTATTTTTTAAGTACACGTCATGTTTTTTCCTGGGAATAATATTTCTAAAGGACCCATTGATATAAAATTGAACCAGATTTTGGTAAAAACCCAAACAATGCAAACATAAAAATATAACAAAACTAAATAATCAAAAATATGAATGTTATAACAATGGAATGACACAAGAAAAATGTACTGAACTACTGAAATGTAATTAATACTTTATATAAAAGGCTTTTTCTGTGATGGTAGCTTTGCTCAGGTGCGAACTTTTATTTATTTATTTTTATTTTTTAATATCACAGACTTCAACAGAGTGTAAAAATCGTGATGGTTCTGTAGGTTTTGTCTATCAAATCTGATTTTTATTTAGTATTTTCTGTTGGATTCAAGTCAAGGCCATTCTGCGGCTTGATTTTCTTTCACTGAAACCGTTTGACAGTTTCATTGGCTGTTTTGGATCATTGTCTTGCTCAAATGTCCACCCTGGTTTCATATTCATCATCCTGGTAATGTAAATGTTGTACTGAAGCAGCTGATATTAATTTACAATGATGAAGAGCAGAGGGTTGCTGAATAACTACTGGAAGATTTCAGCTGCTGTCAGGGCTTTCACTGCCTTTCTACACCTTCTTTTCTTCATGTGTTCAGCACTTTTCCTTTGTGTCATTTCAATTTATTACGTAAAAGTTCATTTATGAAGTAATAATTTTGTTGTCTTTGCATATATGGAGTTATTTGATAATCAACATCTGGTGAAAATTTTAAGTGAACAGCACCTTTAGAGCTGTTTTCAAAGAAAAATGGTGGCGTCCTGACTACCTATTTTCCCCACTGATTGAGATATATATATATAAGTATATTCCCCCATCTTATGCTTCCAGACCAAAAGAATTTTAAAATAATGAGAAGCATCAAGTTTGCAAACTGCTCATTGGTTGTGTGTCAGTGCAGTTCCCACATCTGTTGTTTAGCACTTGATGTATAATTTCTAACTAATGAACTTTCTGATGTATTAATACATTAAGAAATGGTTAAATATATGAATAAATCCATAAATTATCAGAATGCACTACCTACTCTGTCTACACCAGTACTTTTGCACTATTTAATTGATTCTTGTGACCTGATTCAGTGGGGTTTTAGGTGAATTTAAAGAGTATGGTTCTTCAAATGAGTGCTCTGATTGGCTGCTCTCGTTTGTGAAGAGGTAGGCGGTTGCCCAGGGCGATGGGTGTTGCTCTGTCATTAGCTGAAGACACTCTGCTAATCTGCTTTTTAATTTCAGTTAAAGTCAGACATGGCTTGCAATCCCATCACACTTGGTGCCCCACATACTGTAAACCAATTAGTCTTTGATTTACTTGATTTTTGTTTGCGTATAGTTGGTGCACATTGCCACATTTACATTATGCAGATCTGTTACTCTTCCTCTTGAACAGTCTTCCTTGGCCTTGTTTACACCTGAAATGTAGATGTGTTTTCTTCAGTGTGATCACAAGCAGACAATAGAAAAGTTTTGATGAAATCTGGTGTTAAGAGATGTTCTTAATTGTATGTTAATAACAGCAGGTGGCACCTGTATTGTGTCTTAGCTGAACATGTGAATAACAGGTGGAGACAGGGCCATTGTCTCTTTAATGTTCAGTTTGTTGCTCAAGTCATTTCTTTGTCCTTCATCTTGTTGCTATGCCTTTCTGCTGCTTTCATTCTGCATCACTGTAATACATCACATTCATCACTGCTTGTTACATTAAATTTAAAGAAAGCATCATAATTGTGAGCCAAGTGCTAATTCACATGGAAAATTGAGCCTTGTTGCTCATATGCATCCTCTGGGTTTGAATCTAGCTCACTAAATTTTTTATGGCCAAAGTTCTATGCACTATATGCTGTAAAATATTGCTCTGTTCACTCTCTCCTCAGTTTAACAGTGCGGCTCGACAGCTCATAGAACTGGACAAACCATCTGAAGGAGGAGGAGACTCTAGTGAAGGACCGTCCTCGTCCTCCTCGGGCCCTCAAGCCAATGGCTCCCAGAAAGCCCCTGGGGAAAAGAAGAACAGTAAGAAGCGGCACTCCTTCACCTCATTGACTATGTCCCATAAGCCTTGCCTGGCTCCTCCACCACAGAGACACTCCATGGAGATCAGCGGCCCGGTTCTGATCAGCTCCTCTAACCCCACAGCAGCGGCCCGGATCGGAGAGCTCAGCGGAGGCCTTTCCTCCAGCGCACCTTCACAGGTGAGAGATCACACTCATTCAACATAGTTTAGTCCTACGGCCTTGTGGATATTGAGATTTGATGGTAAAAAACTTGTATGCAGGAAAGAAAGAGGAGGAAGCACAGTTATTATTTCAGCATGACAGGGGCTGACCTCTAAATGTGCTGTCTCTTATCCACTCTTCCTCTCTCCATGATATATATAGATTGGTACTCATACTGAGTGCTGGTGAGGACATCATCTCTCAGAGAGAGGATGAGCTTCTCAGCTGTGGCCATGGTTACACAGCCTGATGTATTCGCACACATACACGTACTCTGTCAGGAAAGCAGAATCCGCACAGATGTATTAAAAGATAGAGTCAAGAAAAGAAGAAAGTGGGGCTCAAATCTGACTTTAACTAATCCTTTAATTTGCCTGGAGATTTTAAAGTCCAGTCTCCAAGTATATGTGACATGAACACCTAAAACAACAAAACTTACACCTACTGGGAAAAAAAGTTCATTATTTTGAAATGCAAGAAGATGTTGAGTCACTTTTCATTAGATAACCAAGGTTGTTTTATGCTTTTTGTTGTATGCGTAGTTTGTTTTATATATAAATAATGTATTTTAAGGCTGGAAGACAGAATTATTTAATTGAAAGTATTTTAGCAATTTAAAATAATTGTTCATTAAAAAAATGTTAGATTAAAATACTGAGACTCGACACCAAGTGTTGTTGACAATTAGTATATACAGTTGAAGTCAGAATTATTAGCCCCCCTTTGATTTTTTTTTTTTATTTCCCAAATTATGTTTAACAGAGCAATAAAATTTTCACAGTATGTCTAATAATAATTTTTCTTCTTTAGAAAGTCTTATTTTCTTTATTTCGGTTAGAGTAAAAATAGTGTTTAATATTTTAACAACCATTTTAAGGTAAAAATGATTAGCCCCTTTAAGCTATATATTTTTATTATCTACAGAACAAACCATCGTTATACAATAACTTGCCTAATTACCCTATCTTGCCTAGTTAACCTAATTAACCTAGTTGAGCCTTTAAATGTGACTTTAAACTTTATAGAAGTGTCCTAAAAAATATCTAGCTAATAATTCTGACTTAAACTGTTTATATTTTTCCAAGTCAGAGAAATCCTTATCCTTTTAAAGGGGTGGTCCAGAGTGTATTGTTAAGGCTTGGTTGTGTTCATAAGATGCAAAGCAATGTGTGCTCATGCTTCACTTGTAGAAAATCATGTTATTTTTTCTTACTTTGTTTATATACAGCTACTCAGCTAACATGAAAACGACTGTCATATTTTCTAGTTTTTCCGTAAGGCCTGCCCTCAAGAGGCTCTGATTGTTCAGCTAACATAATGTGCTGTGATTCACGAATTGGCTCCACGTCACCAAGAAAATCATCACACCCCTACCAGCAAGCACATTTGCTCTGTGTAAATAGTAAGTCAGAGTAGCTTTTAGCTATATCAGTTTGTGCCTAGATCAGACACAAACTGATGACACAGAGGACAAGGCTGAACCTCACGCCTGCTCTCTAAAATAAAATCTGACAAGTGTCTTCCATATATATTCGCATTATAAGCATGTGTAAGTAATATGAAACATTCACATATCTTTAGCAAGTTTATTGTTTGAGATGTAGAGTGCAGGGAAAGCAGCACTGCAGCGCTGGTAAAGATTGTGGCTGTTTATAGGGGTTTGACTAATAGATATGAATTTGTAGCTACATTGTTAATAGTACCAAAAGCATTTACTGTTGTTTACATCCTTGTTTATGTCCCTGATACAACATAACATTATCACTAGACACTATGCATGTAATTGATCAATTTCAACAAATAAAAATACAGGTTGTGGCTCACAATCTACAGCTTATTTTATTATAGTTTGAGCTGCTGCTTTGAGGAGTTTTTAGCCGAATCCAGCTCTACACTGCATGGGAGAGATTCTTGAAACTGCCCCTTGTCAAATGCTAGCTATATATTTTTTTTATAATTCTCTGTATCTTAATTAAAATGGAACTGTAAGCATTTCTTTCTTTGTGTCGTGTCCTTTGGAAGCCCAAATACAGAAACAGAAGGAGCTCTGTGGAAATAGCAGCATTGGAAGCAATGGAAGCCAATGTCTCCCTTTGCATTGAACTCTGAGCATATTACATTCAGAGATGTTGCATATATTCACACAGCTACATAACACATCAATTAAAATTTCAAATATGATATCGTTGTGGACCACCCCTTTAACATATTTTATTAAATATATTAGAAATATATAATATAACAACACAAGATGAAACAGTCTTTAATAATTTTAAACGGATGGCTCACCTCAAAAGTAAAAAAAAATACTTTTAATGTACTCACCTTCAGGTTGTTGGAGATATGCATATTATGACTTTCCTCTTTTAGATTTCCTTGTTGTTGTTGCTGGTGTTGTTTGAATGTTATTAATCACCAAGAACTAACTTTTAAGCTTAAAATCTTCTTGGGTTATCTGCTGAAGATTTTTATTTTATTATTTTGCAAGCGTGAGAGTAAATTTTCAACATTTTCATTTTTGAGTTAATTACCGCTTCTACTGGCCCACAAAAAAAGGTTTTATGGTATATTTTAAGTTAACACCGTAATCACAGTTATCAAAAATTTTATACTTAATATCTTACCCAGCTCTACAGTAATGTGACTGTAGCAGTTGCTTGATCTTGGCACGTTCAAATGAATCTCTTGCAGAGACTGATAGAAACTGTATACACGATAATGAAACAGTAAGAGATTTTTGAAACTGTTTGAGCCTCAGAAAGATATTTTTTGCTCATCAAAGATGGTAATATGTTACACTTTAATCGTCAAGTATCAGTGAAATACATGAAATTCACAACAATAGTTCAGTCACTCACTAATAAATGCTTTCTAGAAGTGAAAGAAAAGCAAGCATCGTGTCAGACATCCTGCCCACACTCCAGAGCTCTGATGCTTGTCCACACCAGCTTACTGTTCTCTCCTGTTCTGTCAGCAGTTACTCTGTCTCATTCCACACAGTCCGACACGCTGTCCGAGTGTCTGAGATCAGTGATGCGTGACGGCGCTCCAGCACATCAAACACTCGCTCGCAGAGGTTACTGCAGCAGCCCTGAAATGACAGTCACTCACAGCTGTTCACTGGCTGCAGTCTCTGAGGAGATGCCGGACACGCATGTCATTTCATATGGATAATCGGGGGTGGGGGAGCTCTAACTTCCAGTAATGTGGCATTTCCTTCTTTAATTTATGGTTGCAGTGATTTAATTGAAATGACATTTACGTTCGTTTTAAACATTTAAAGTGTCCCATTTAGGCTTTTTTGAATATTAGTTTTTATGCAGCATGTAATGTCCCTATTTTTCATTGGAAAGGATGTACAACAAATAAAGCTATTATCTCCTAAGTGAATTGTGAAGTGCTGAAGGCAGTTTTCAGTAATTCCAGTTTCACCTTCATATCTCATCTAAACAGTAAAAGAAAAAAAGAAAGAGGCTAATTTGCATAATACTAGTTTGTGGTCTTTATTGGTGTCCCACAGAATTGTCTAATTGGACCTGCCTTCAAAAATTAACACAATGTTGAGAAGTAACATTTATTGCTAGACTTGGGATGCCATCAATTATGTTAAAAGGATTAGTCGACCCAAAAAAAAATAAATGTTATCGCTATTTAGTCACCTTCTATTGGTTTCAAGCATTTGAGTTTTCTTTTTCTGTTGAACACAAAAGAAAGTAGTTTGATGGATGATAGAAACCGATAACCATTGACTTCCATAGTAGGAAAAACAAACACTAAACACTTCTTTTGAGTTAAACAGAAGAAACAACCTCAAATAGATAAGTGTATGATAAGTTGAGGGAGTTTTGGTTGAACTATTCCTTTATTAATGGTCGATTAAGCATAGACTTCTTTGATGTGCATAGTTTTGAGTCATATTTGGCTATAACAAATCGTAACGTTAGCAAGAAACGTCACAAGTTGATGGAGGTTTGGATTGATGAACTATTTCCCACCCTATTTTTGTTTCATCATCAGCCTCTGGCTTAACTTCATATTGGCTTTATCCGAAATTACATACTTCCATACTATATAGTACGCGAAAAACAGTATGCGAGCCGAACAGTATGTTCTGTGTTCTTAGAATTCGAAAAACAGTAAGTGAGAAGTACCCGGATGACCTACTACTTCTGGCGAGATTGTGAAATGCGATTTAAGCAAATTTGATTGAGTGTGGTGGGCCGAAAGTAAATATACCAAACTCTATTACATTAAAGTTGCCATGGGTAAATTCCTAATTTATCTGATATTTAAAAATAGCTAAAAAAAAAAAAAAAAAAAGATTTTTATTAACTAATGTAGTGTATGTTTTTTAATAGTATAATGAACTTATTACAGGAGTCAAGCTGAATTTGTTTTCACCTTGATTTGCTCACCAATGTCTTTTGCGTTGTCCTGTATCCGATGATTGTCAGTATTTATATTTTTAAAATTACAACATTACATTTTTTTGTAGCTCAGCACTAATAACAAACAAACAAAAAAGATTACATTAAATTAGAAATGACCCCTGCCCATCATTCTCACTGTCTTCTCAGATAGGATGGTGGGCCAAATCACTTGTTATGATGGACCAACTTTGGCCCGCAGGCCTAAGTTTGGGCATATCTGGTATAGAACATACTTTTCTAAAGGTGGAGTAGTAAATTCTAATTCAAATGCAGTACCTACTGAGTAGTACGCGATTTCGGACGCAGCCATTGCAAATTCAGTGCCATTGTTATTGTCTTACAGTGTGTACAATCATTGCGGATTGAGAAAGCTGAATGTCAAATATGCCGATGGAAGTTTAGTTACAATAGAGCAGTGGTTCTCAAACTTTTTTCATCAAGTACCACCTCAGAAAAAAATTGTCTCTCCAACTACCACCAAAAATGAGCAGTATTGAAATACAGTAGCGTAGTAGGCTCAGTAAAGTTGCTACAACTCTGCTCAGA